TTTTATGAGAGAGGAAAGTGGGTTAAAAGATGAGAAGTGACTTTTAATCTCTTTCTCAAATAGGCTAAAATAGTTAATAAGACAAAATATCGCATCAAATTCATAATCATTTCATTTATTCTCTCACAAATATCACATTTAACTACAAAAAAATATAACCCTCTTCCCAAGTATAAATGTTTTGACTTACTAAAATAGCCAAAAACTAAAATGGCCTATTAAAATAGCTAGCTTTCCAAACGAGACCTTTGAATGACAGGCCTTCAATTGAACATGTAGCATTGGTCTTTGTGCCCAACCTACTAATTTCTGTGGCTTTGTATATGATTTTCTATGTTTCACAAATGAGATGTGTCTGGTAAATTTTATAATTTTTTTGGATATGGGCTAAAGAGATTGCCAATGGGTCATACTACGGCCAAGTTATGTAATTGGTTTTAAATTACGGTTTTGTGTGGGTTTATTTTGGTTTTAGAAGTCAAAGTCAAGTCTCTAAAAATCTAGTTTTTTATTTAACGAATTCTTATTCTAGTTGGAGTAGGAGCCTCTATGGCTTGTAAAAACCAATGTAATTCTTTAATTCAATGGAGAGCATATGTTAGATAATTCGGAAAGCCTTGTGCATAAGCTGGTAGTAGGTAATATGTTTGTAAAAAAAAAATATAAGTCCTTTGGAACTAGATATGGATGAACTGTTTATGGTAAGTTTTTATCCGTCATTACCCATTCTTATTATATTGTGCTTTCGGCAATGTTTTGGAAAGGAATTTGAAAAGGAAAAAGGAAAAAGTATGTGAAATTAGGTATAATATAGGTATATTTTATTCATATTTTACCTACATTTTTCATTTTTTTTTCCAGATCCCTCCTCAAATCCCCCAACCAAACACAATATAAAAGAAAAATAAAGGGAATGAACAATAAGAATAATTTTGGGTTCAAGAAGTCAATTAGACTCCCATTGGGGACAATCATAAATCCAAATTATTAGAGTGATTGCAAGAGCAAGCTATGTAGCATCTACTTATAGAATGCATGAACTAGATTAGGATAGTTAGGTTAAAAAGAATTACAGATCCCTGTAAAAGATTTGTGGGCATAGATGAACTTGTCATGTTTCCAGACGATGAGTGCTGGAGTAAACAATTCCTAGTCAGATACAGCAACACATTTGTACCAAGAGTTTGTGAAACTACATTCACATGCACATGGAAACATAATGATGGAGCCAAAACAATTACTCAATAATCAGGAATAACACACCTATAGTGAACATTTCCCGAGGTAGATAGAGGTGGATTATTTCATAAAAGTTAAAATAAGTTAACATAGATTTTGTGATTTATTTAGGAGTGAAAGGGCAATCCCTTTTACATAATATAAGTCATCAAAATTGCATATGATTAATTTTAAAAGATTAAAATTGCATATCATCAAAAGATTAATTACATTCAAGTTTTATATAATCTTCTTTTATAATTTTAAATATGCCAATATTCAGTCAATACTAATGATAAATTTTATTTTTACAGATGGTTTTTTGGGATTGTGGATACGGCTTTTTTGGTCTATGGAGTACATTGTTTTTTGTCTACGCATTACTATTGTTCGTAGAGATAGCTATTTGCATAGTATAAATTACTTTTTTGGCGTAGTACAAATTTCCTTTTAGCATGATAGTGTAGATATTACTTTTTTTGTGTACAGAGGACATAGTTTTTGTGTAATCCTCTGTTTTGTATGAAATTACATTTTTGAGGTTGGATTACACTTGATTTGTATGGAATTTCTATTACATTTGGAATTTGACATTAAATATTAATTTTTTAAATGGTTTAAAGTGAAATATGTGCACGTTGTGGAATGATTGATAATATAATCGGTGGATGTATTGTTTTGTTTATATATAGGGTACAAGTTGCACTAATAATAGAATAAATACAGCTGGTGAAGAAATTAATTAAAAAACACTAAATAAAATTTTTGGCGACTAAACATTTAGTAGCCAAAAAAGAAGTGATGTTTTTGGCGACTAAATATTTGGTAGCTAAAAAAGTAAGCAAAGATTTTTGGTAACTTTTTGTAGTAAAAAACCAAGAGACTTTTGCCAACCAAATAGTTAGTAGCCAAAATAGATCGAGATGGGGGAAGAAAGTATTGCCAACTAAATATTTTAGTCACGAAAAAATATGACATCCTTCAGCAACTAAAAAATTTTGTCGTAAAATATAATGGGATGAAAATATTTAGTCTTTTGGTGACCAAAATGTTTAGTCGTAAAAGCAAAGACGACTAAATTATTTGGTGGCTAAATGTGACATAAAACGGCAACTAAAATATTTAGTCGCTAAATGTATAGTACTATTGGCAACTAAAATGTATTAGCAACTAAATGTTTCGTTGCTAAAAGAGAACTTTATTTTTATTTGAGAACTTTCGGCGACTACACCTTTCGTCACCAAAAGATGTCAATGAGGGACTAAGTTCGTTATAGTAGTTGAAGAGAAGAGAATTAGTGACCAACAAACTTTTAGTAGCCAATACTATCGCCGACAAGCCTTTGACGACAAACTGGGTGACTAAAATCTTTAGTTGCTATTGACTTTTGGCGACTAAAAAATAAGCTTTGGCAACTAATTTTTTAGTAGTTGAAGGTGTATTTTCCTGTAGTGAATGTTTGTTCGAAATCGGCTCGTTACGTAAAAAACCAAGCTTCAACAACTTACTACACAACTCGTTTTCAACCCTACTTAGATCGTCTTCTTTGTTCTCCTAACCATGTATAGCAATGATACACCCTGAAGTCTTCAACATGTGTTCTCATTCACATTTAGCTTAATAGATTACATGTTATATACATGAAGTATAGAGAGGAAGTTATTAAGACTCTCAAAGTGGGCAGGGGAGAACAGAACCGAATGAAAAAACTCTAGCCAACTAGATTAGTCCTTTTGATTGGGCTCCATATTCAATTAATTCAAATTGCTTTAAACTGCTTTGATAAAGAGAAAAATCATGATTGCAAAGGAAGAACATGCCTAGTCTCACTTGATATGCCGATAAATCATGATCAATGACATTTAGACTGGGAAGATAGGCATCTTGTTGGGTATCATTATTTTCTTGCTCATACACAACATGAAAGCCAAACTCTTTTAGATAAACAGTTGCTCGCAGAAACACGGAAACATCTACTTCATCTTCCAACTGCTTCCCCATGTTCCAGTGGCTTAACCATATCATGTCTTCATTGTCTTCCAGAATGCCTACGAATATTGGGATATAGCTCCACTTCAAATCCTTTGTCTTCTTGGTTTTAATATAAAACTCATTCCAGGACGTATTTCTCGGATCATTGTGCTTTCTTTCAGTACGTGCATACACAACACAAACATTCAAGCCTTGGATCTTGAGATTTGGAAGTAAAGGCACATTAAAACAAATTGAGAACCCTATACTCTTAATGTTGAACTGTTGGAATGTGTCTCACATCGCCTGGAGTTGCTCCATCTATACTATTTATAAGGCTTCAATTCCCCTCCTTAATACCTAGGTTTTATTTTGGTATCAGAACTGATGGCAAAGATCTATGGATTCTCCACTTACTCTTCTTATGGAAGTGATCACTTAAGCTTTTAAGTAGGTATGAGTTCCAAATAATGGATTTGGCCGGTATTACTATGCCCTTATGGGCTCTCTGATTCCCTAACAACTTCTACCTTGGAACCTCACTTCCTGGAAGAAAAGTGCTGAATATATTAAATTCATAGAGTCCCTGCACCATGAAGGTCAAATTAATTGGAACTTACACGTGCGTGCACATGTCTGCAGGCGTGCGTGTGTGTGTATGAGAGAGAGAAAGAGAAAGCACCACCTGGAGGGGAAGTTTCCTTTTTGACATTGTCATAATTATTAAGAAGTTCCACCTTGACTTTTCCTACGATTTCCAAGTCGAACAAGCCCAATTTGTTTATTATTTGTGCATCGATGTTTACAATGGGCACTAACTTGAATAATCCCTGAACTTCAACTAGTTTGTCACAAAAATTTAAGATCATATCCAATGAACTCAACATGTTTGGTAGGTTTGTTACCATTTCCAACGACCTGCACTTGAATAGATCCAAGTCATTTAAACTCATTGGAAGCTCTGGGAGGGATTGAAGTCTTGAGCAACTAACTAAAGCAAGTGACTGGAGCAGAGTAAGACATTTGATGCTATCTGGTATGCTACATATTGAATTCCCACTCAGATTCAAGTCCTGCAACAAGGACAGGCCACCAATATCGAAGTCTGTCGAACTCCATTGAATTTATTTTGGTTAATAGTTCCATCCTGTGTTTAAAGCATAGATTTGGCAAAAAAAAAAAAACCATTAAAATGAAATTATTTATATATATATATATATATATATTATGAGAAAGGGGTGAAGTTCACATGTAGAACCCATCCCTTTGTTTCTATCATGCATTTTATTCTGTAATTTAATTTTGTGCAACTATCACAAATATTTTTTACATGACTAATCAAACTAAGAAATTAAATTTTATTTTAATTTTATAAATACCTCTTCATTTTGTTTTTTTTCCTCAATTTCATAAAAATAGAAAATTAACCTTTTTGGTCATGCTTTTAATTTCTTCATTTTCATTTTCCGTGATCATTTTTCACATTTGTAGAAATAGAATTTATAAAAAGTTCAAAAGCATGCATGGTTTTCATACTACTTTTGGTGCTTCTCAAAAAGTAAGTTGTCTCATAAAATTTTCACAACTTTTTTTTTTTTTTTAAATCAATTCATCAAACAAGTTTTCTTTGTTTTCTAGAAAAATGAAAACAAAAACACAATCAAAAAAGCATTTCTTTCAATTCATTTTCTTTTCTTATTTTTCCCTTTCTCTTTTCTTTTCCTCTACAAATTAAAGTTGCAAGCATAGTTTAAAGAAAAACCTGATACACTGATCAATTTTGCTTTAGTATTAAAGAAAAACCCATTAAATTGATCAATTTTTCTTTGATGCAAGAGCAATACACACATCAATTTTCTTTCGATGAAAGAAACTGAATTACATGTAATCATAATGGCTCAAAATACATATAAGAAAGTGTTACTATTGTGACAAAACCAATATGAGACTCAAATTCAACCAACACAATAAATAAACAATAAATGAAGACTCACACTGATTGCAGGACATATCAAACAAAAATGAATCCTTTATCTGAAAATACAACAGATTCATGGAGAACAAAGTTGCCTGCAAGCCAGTGCCTTGAGTTTTTTTTGTTTCTCTGATCTTTCGAACCCTGGTCATTTCTTATTTTGGGTATGCTAAAAAAATTTATGAACTAGTCTGTGAAGAGTCCCCAAATAAGAAGTCATACCAGCCGTTGGCTGTCCGGTCATCCTCCTTTGAGCACTCTTGATAGGTATCAAAATCGTGATGGCAGAGGAAGTATTTGCCTGGCCTCACCTGATATTCTGACAAATCTCGATCAATGACATTTTGACAAGGCGGATTGGTGTCCTGTTGGTGTTGGGTACGCTTCTCTTCTTGATCATACACAGCATGAATGCCAAACTCTTTTAGCTGCTTTTCTGCCCAAAGGAACACTGCAACATTCACTTCATCACCACTTTCCAACTGATTCCCCATGTTCCAGTGGCTTAACCATATCATCTCTTCGTTGTCTTCTGGAAGGCCTATGAATGTTGGGCTATAGGTCCACTTCAAATCCTTTGTCTTGTTACTGGTTTTAATATAAAACTCATTCCAACGCTTGGTTCTTGGATCATCAGAACGTTGATTGGCATGTGCATATACAATGCAAATATTCAAGCCCTGGATCTTGAGTTCAGGAAGTGAGGGCACATTAAAATTTATTGAGGAACCTGTACTCTTAATGTCGAACCACCTAGGAACCTCACTTCCCAGAAGAAAAGTGCTGAATATATTAAATTCATAGAGTCCCTGAGCCACAAAGTTCAAATTAATTAGCATTTACACGTGTGCACGAGCGCGCGCGTGTGTGTGTGTGAGAGAGAGAGAGAGAGAGCACCACCTGGAGGGGAAGCTTCCGTTTTGAAATTGTCATGTTATTGAACAGTTCCACCTCGATTTTTCCTATGACTTCCAAGTTGCACAAGCCCAATTTGTTCATCATTTGGATATCAATGTTTACAATGGGTACTAGCTTGAATAATCCCTGAACTTCAATAAGGTTGTCACAAGAATTTACGACCACGTCTAGTGATTTCAACAAGTTTGGTAGGTTTATTACAATTTCCAACGAGCCGCACTTGTATAAATCCAAGTTATTTACACTCATTGGAAGCTCTGGAAGGGATTGGAGTCTTGTGCAACTATCTAAAGCAAGTGACTGGAGCTGAGTAAGGCATTTGATGCTATCTGGTATGCCACAAATCGGATTCCCACTCAAATTCAAGTTCCGCAACAAGGACAGCACACCCATATCCCTTGGCATAGCATCATCAGAAAGATTGCAATGTGCAAGACTTAAGGTTACTAAGGAGTGTGACAAGGAAGCCAATGAAAAGCTGATGGGATTTGGACACTTTCTTGGTTTCAAAACCCATGAAAAGAAGAATGAGCACCAAAAATTCTTCTCATCGGGGGTCGACTGTGATTGACATATAGCAGTTTTATCTGCATTGAACACCGTCAAAGATTCCAAGTTGCCTAGCTCTGTAGGCAACTGATTGAGCTCCGAGCAACCATAGAGAATGAGTTCTTTAAGGGATTTCAGGTGACAAATTTGTTGTGGAAGCTTCCCAAGTCTTCTGCAGTATTTCAGATTCAACAAGACGAGCCTACTTAATTCTCCAATGGATTCATGAACCTCAATCAGATTTATGCAATCTTTAAGAATTATCCTCTCCAGGTTAGGGATCTCTGAAAAGTCTGGGGTATTGATCAGGCGGTGGGAATGACTGAGATTGAGGATTTTCAGTAATCTGAGCAACTATGATAAGAAAATGAATTAAATTCAATGAATCTTTTTTACTAAACGCCAAAAATTTGAAACAGGAAAAGATATTGTTATACCTTTGTTCCCCTCCAAACCTGTTCCAGTCTGCTGTAACGCATGTTAAGTGCAACCAAGCTCTCCAAAGGAAACTCATTGGGTATATATTTTGAAGGGAAACCACGCCAATACAACCATCTCAACTTCTTGGGAAATTTCTCATAATGTCCAGTGACCCGTACATTATAGAGTTGAAGCAGTCTCAGTTCGCACATTCTTGAAAATGCATCAGTTTGTATGTCTGCTTCTTTTGATGTGGCAAATGATTCTCTTAAGGCAGAATATATAGGGAAGGAAGAGAAGAAGCTCAGACGACGTTGCTTTGATGGATGGCCTTCATAAAACATTGTTGATATGTCATGCAAATCTCCAGAATTGCATCTTTTTGCATTACCTACCCTCCTGGATGATTTATCTTTGTTCGATGCATGAATGTTTAGACTGAGGCCTTCAATTGTTTTCGTCCCCTGACAACCAAAAAAAAAAAGAGAGGATAATGTGAGTATACACATCAAGAGAAGAACATACAAGTAACTGTGAATAGCATATAATTCTTACAGTTTTCTCTATTAATACATTAAAGGCATCCTTATATTCCCACAATCTGCTTCTTTTCTCAGGTTCCTCAGGTGACTCTTGTCGTATTACTTCTCGTGCCATGGCTTGAAGCAACTGATGCATCATTACCTTGCTATTTTCATCAATTGTTAAGAGGCATCTATCAACGAGATTGTCAATCCCTACTCTTGTGTGGAAATCACATCCATCTAGTATTGAAATAATGAAGTCTCTGTCTTTTCTAACAAAGAAACAAGCAACATCTAGGAATAGATTTCCGTCGTGGTCATCTAAAGAGTCATAACTTATTTTAAGTTTTTTAAGGATCTGGCTATCAGGAATTGCTTCCAATTTCTTTGATGCACTTTCCCACACATCTATATTTCTGTCGTATAGAGAAGAGCCCAAAACTTGAAGAGCTAAAGGCAGCCCTCTGCAGTAGTGCACTACTCTTTTTGAGTGCTCCACGTAACCTTCAATTGGATGGTCTTGTCGAAAGGCATGCAAACTGAAGAGCTCAAGTGATTCATCATCATTTAGCTCCTTAACCTTATGTACCTTACACAGTTTTTGTGCCATTAGCAACCGCTCACGTCTAGTTGTGATGATAATTTTACTTCCCGGAGAAAACCAATCTTGCATCATGAGTACCGCATTTAATTGCTCCACTTCATCCACATCATCAAGCACAAGAAAAACTCTTTTACAGCATATAGCATCTTTGATCTTACTAATACCTTCATCAACACTCTGAATTTTTTTCTGTTTCCCTTTCAAAATATCCTGAAGGAGCTTTCTTTGCAAACAAACCAAGCCATCGTGTTGTTCTGATATTTCCTTAATATTTGCAAGAAAACTGCTACCTTCAAATTTGTCGAAGTTAAGATTATAAACTGTTTTGGCAATGGTTGTCTTCCCTATCCCACCCATACCACATATCGTCACAATGCCAACATCAGTTGAGCCATCTTGTAACCAGGAATTAATTTCTTTTATACGAGAATTAATTCCAATTTGGTAGGGGCCTACACTCAAGACTGTGCGATTCAATTTATTCGCAATCTCCTTCACAATTTTCTGAATAAATCTTGACTCATGCCTTCCAACAACAACCAAAAAGGAAATATCATAATTTCCATGTCATTAGTTGAAATCAAATAAGAATTCAAATGTAAAAACAAAAAATAAAAAATCATGATGATTAGATTTAGCCACTATAACTTTAATGCAAACAAAATTAAGTAAATGTCATGATTCTTAATTCTGGGCATTAATCCTCAAATGCATGCAATTTTTTTTTTTTTTTTGATCAGCTAAAGAAAATTTTTATTGATGAACCAAAGAGTATTACATCCATATAGAAAGCAATGAGTGCAAAGAGCACCAAAGCAAGACAAACCAATCCCAACTAGATTGGCACCGATAAGTCCGCCATATCATCTGCTAGCACACCATCAAATGCATGCAATTTTGATGTTAATATTACATGAAAAATATTTTTTGATAAAAAAAGTAAATCAAGGGAAAATCTAAGTTCATACAAAAATCACAACTCCAACTTGACCGATTAATTTTTAAGCCGATAGGTCCTTTTTCTTTTCACAATAATTATGATATTGACTTTTTAAAATTTTACTAAACTTTTGCCAACTCTTTTTTTGTAAATCATATCATTTTTTTTTTTTTTTTTTTATTCAAACTATTCGTGCTATAATCTTCATGGCCCAGCATTTTGTTGGATTTTTTCTGGTGAGATGCCTAACCCTGGGATGGTCCATGTAAAGTGGCATTCTAATGCAAGAATTTTATTTTGCATTGAACACCATTTGATTTTGCAAAGTTAATAGAAAATGGACAAAATTTTTGGTAAAAATTAAAATGCATGTGAACTTTTGAACAAAAAAAAAAGGAGAGTTTTGACTGTGTTTATTAATCTAATGCAAAAGAGTAGTACTCTTTGAGTCAGAGAATTTCAAATCTTAGACAAAGTTATCTTCAATATCTAGTCTGTGTTCAAATAGACAGTATCATATGGCCTATGTATACACCTTTGACACCTTTTCATAAGGGTTGTGTCCCGTTAATAAAGATTGGAACTCTTGATCATAATGGTGCCTAATAAATAAGTTAGAGAAAATTACGTACCCATCTTCTAAGATCATCCCTGACAAATCCGCAACTTCTCTCAGAGTTTCCCTCCATGTCTCTACCTTTGCAAGCCTCTCTTGTTTTCTATAATCAGTCTCGGCCTCAAATCTCTTGTTGTGTTTTTCAAATGCTTCTGCAAAGCTCCCAGTTTGGTTCTTGACATGGGATGGATCCACGTGGTAGAATATAGGAAGTATTATATGATTGACAGTTCTCTTGCGTTCAAGTATCTTCACAAGTTCATTAAGGCACCACTTAGAAGATGCATAGTCTTTTGACAAGACGATTATTGAAATTCTTGACTGTTGGATTGCCTTCTTTAGGTTTGATTCAATATCCTCCCCTCTCTCAAGTTCGTCATCATCTCTAAACGTGTGAATCCCTGCATGCACCAAAGCTGTGTAAAGGTGGTCAGTGAATGTCCTGCGGGTATCTTCACCCCTGAAGCTCAAGAAAACGTGATAAGAAAACCGAAGCATCGATGAGGAGGCTTTTTGGACTTCTGCAACAGTAGTTTTGGAAGAGAACTCTACTATATGGATTAAGAACCTGTATACAGTATGTAAGGGCACCATGGATGTATAAGATATATATATATATATATATATGACGAAAATGGATAAACAATACTTGTAGGTTCTACAAATTTGGATTAAGAAAAGTCAATGAAATAGAAACCAAAGGCTACAAAGAAATGTAAGATAAACAGATGAGTTCATGAATTTTACTCAAGAGACAAAAAAAAACAAACATTAAAAAGGAACAATTACCTTTGGGCATGTTTGATTGGGTGGATTAGAGCATGAGATTGAGATTATTAATCCGTGGATCCAATTATTCTATGTTTGTTTTAACATTTTGGTTTAGGATTATTAATCCAATGGATAATTAATCTAACAAATTTGTAGGAAGGATTATTAGTAATGGGGTAGGGGTGGGATTATTAATCCAATGGATATTAATCCAATTGGATAGTGAATACCACACTAATTTAATAGAATTATTAATACTTCACTATTAGTCTTGTGAATCAAACATGACCTTTGTTCCTTGATGCAACTCTTGTTTTGGTGTTAACTAATTACCACTTCATCTTAACTATCAAAAACAAACTATGAATCTTTGGATACGGGAACCAAGCAAGCAGAAGCTGAGCTACAAACAACTTTTTCCAAGTTCAACAGATTTTATATCAAACCCACACTCAAATACTTAATCCAATATGATTTACAGTTTTTGAACAAGTTCATAATAAAGGTATTCGGTATCTCGGATGTTAGCAGAATGAGATTAATTTCAGTATAGGGAAAAACACAAAGAAACTCAATATAGTGGACTGTTTTTAACAGATCACCCCCTCTTAACAAACTGAACCTTATTACCCCAAAACCCATAATTCATTGTTTCCATACTTTTATCAGAACAGAAGAATTTCTCTACACAGTTTTAAGAGAAATACTATATAAATATTCAAATCAAAATTTAAAATTACCTTTGTGATCCAACAATAGGGAAAATTTTGAGGTTACCATTCTACCTTTAAAGGGAGTACCCATTATATAGATTCCAAACAGGCTACTACTAACATATATATTTTTTTGGCACAAGAATAAAGGAATTGTTGTAATGCAAGCATACTTAATAAAAGAAAACCTATGAAAATAGGAATTTGATAAAAAAATTTACAATAATGGGGAAAAGGAATAAAAAGAAAGAAAATACTTTGTAAAACTAAGTAGACATTAGCTAGGAATTAGACAATAGGATCTCTTATTCCTATAAAATAAGAGAGTTGTAACTCTCACCTAACTTATATACCTAACATGAGAAATGAATTCTCTCTTTTTTTTTATTTTTCTTTCCATTAGTTATTTTTTCTACCAAATCAATAGATCCAAATGGAGTGTAATTTTCTGAGTTCAGCTTGTGCAAACAAGAACTCAACTTGACTCCATTGATTCATTACCCAACTAATTTGAAGAAAAAAAAAATCAATAAAAGAAAAAAGACTAAAATATTCTATTTTCCGTTAGTTTAACTAATTGAAATAGGCAGATGGTTGAGGATTTATTTATTTTGTTATAAGAGTCGAATCCTTTCTTTTTTTTAATGTAGATAATAGAAGAGAGCAATTTACTGGATTTTTATTTTGCAATATTACTCTCACTCTGTAAATCAAGACTGTGTATAATATATGTAAACATAAGATTTTATAGCACCATCAACAAAGAGACTAAACGAAACTAAAATCCCAATAAAGTAAAGCACAGATCATATCAACAAAGAGATTAAAACATATCAAGGTGGATCAAAACAAACGAGAGCCCTCAGATGAAGAAAACTTACCTGGATTTTGCTGATGAAAAATGCTTCTAGTATTTGAGTGTAGAGCAGTCCAACCAAGATTTTAACAATTATGTGTTTGTTGTTGGTGTGGGTTGAGGAGGAGAAAATAAATAAATAAATAAATAAATAAAGAGAAGAAATGATGAAAGAGAAAATGTAACAACTAGTGGGTTTTTCTCTTTATTCTCATTATCGGTAGAACAAAACGCGGGTAGACATCATTTAAAACCAAAACAAAAGAAAGAAGAAAAAAAAATATATGGCGAAAACGGTTTTATAAATCGGCTTTTTTAAATTTGTTTTCTCTATTAAAAACTTTTGGGTAAAAAATATTTATGTTCAAAATATAAATTTATAAAAAAAAAATTAGTGGGAAAAATGATTTTTATCAAAACTGTTTTTAATTAATTTAGAACTAATTAAAGGTTAATTAAAAATGGCTTTTTAAAAGCCAATTTTCTGTATTAAATTTCATTATTTTTTTTATCATAAAACACGTCATTGTTAGAGTCATTTTATTCTATAATGGGAATAAAGAAAAAAACTCACCTAAAGTGGGAATAAAGCTGTGAGAATGGGAGGTGTTAAATTCAATGTATAGAGAAAGAGAGAAAATGTTGTATGTATATTGAATGTATTATTGATATCTTACAAATGTTGAATTGAGCTCCTTTTACAGAGGAGAGGAGCCTATAGTAAAGTAAAGCACTACATAACTATCACACTAAAGTAAAACATACAGCACCATCACACTAACATCCTCCCTCAAACTCAAGGAGGATAGGTACAAACTAACTTGACTTTGGAGAGAGTAATAAAATAAGAAAATAAACTAAAAATAAATCAAATAGGATAGGAGACACTGTATGATCGTGTAAGATCGGTGTAGAAGACACTGTGAGGTCGTGTCAAACCGCTGTAGAAGATATTGTGTGGTTGTGGCAAACCAATGTAGAAGACACTGTATGGCTCGTGTCGGACCGGCGTAGAAGACATTGTGAGGTCGTGTCAGACCGCTGTAGAAGACATTGTGTGCTCGTGTCAGTTCGCTGTAGAAGACACTGTGAGGTTGTGTCAGACCATTATAGCAGACACTGTGTGGTCGTGTCGGACCGTTGTAGAAACTAACCGGAATCAATGTCGGGACAGTTTACGGGGTCATGCCAGACCGATATAGCAGACACTGTGTGGTCATGTCAGACCATTGTAGAAGACATGGTGAGGTGGTGTCGAACCGTTGGTGAATACACTGTATGTTCGTGTATATAGGCTGCCCAAAGATATATATATATATATATCATGCCCTCAAAAGTTGCACTCTCAAAAGTCGCGCCCAATACATCAAAAGTCGTGCCAGACACTGTGGCATCAAGCGGACGTCGAACGGCGCGTGATGTACGTGACCGACAGAGCGCCATGTCTACCTCGGCTTGCGCTCCCGTTTTGTTATCTTAGTCTCTGCATTGTCTATTTAAACCGAGGATGTTGAGGCTAGTGTAGAGATTGAAAGCAAACTCAACCAGACGAACTCTGCAACCCTTATCGTCCACTCTGCAACCCCCTACTTGTGCTACCTTTGATATGGCCTCCTCTTCCCGTAGTGTGCTCACCCTTTTCCAGACTTGAATGAGTCCACAATAGAGATAATCGGGTCTGTCGCCCGTGAATCGCAACCAAACGCCCCTGGACCAAGCACCCTTGTTTTTGCGCCGTTGAACTTTTTGATGCTGTCAGTGGAGCAAATAATGGCAGTGCAATCGGATAATGAGGCCAACCATTATACATTGAAGTCATGTGTGGAAACCATGACGGCAGTCACGAACTTGTCTCACTAGCTTCAGAATAGGACAAGTGAGGTACAACAGTTAAATGCCCAACTGGCTCTACTCCAGCATATGTATATGGATGTGCGAGCAGAGATATGTGTACTGAAGGCGGAAAACAAGGAGCGGAAAATGGAAGGCCACCGTCATGCTCTGATTCGAAGGTCTGTCATATTTTGATTACAAAACAATTTTATTTAAAAGCGTGGTTAGAATCTTCACAAAACAGATTTCCTTAAAAGCTTGGTTTATAACCACACTTTTTTTACAAAACAGATTTCCTTAAAAGCGTGGTTTGTAACTACGTTTTCATAATTAAAAGCGTGATTTGTGACCACGGTTTTACGATTGTACAAATTTTCCGCGGCAGGGCCAAAAAAACGGTGAAAGCGTAGTTTGTAATAGCGTTTCAGCTTATTTTGGAAATTCCACCCAAACTATGCCTAGTTTGGGAAATAGGTTGTTATTTTAGCTTGTTTTGGGAAATGGCCCGAGTTCAATCGCCGAGTTGGGAATGTTCATAAATGGGCGAGTCAAATCGAGGATAACACGGGACTTTGTCTGTGTTACTACTTCGATGACTTGGCTGGTGACGTGGCCAAAGTGCCAGCTATGGTTTTGCATTTCGTGGGGAATTCCAGTGTGGTGTTGCTGAACGGTGGTGATGATGCTGAGGATAAAGAAAAAGCACGGAAGGAGCAGAAACTGAAGACATTGAGGTCCAGCGGGCGGCTAAGGCGAGACTGCCGCCCGTCGGTGAAACGAAATTACTAGGTTCTTAACCTTGCTCTGATACTATATTAAATTCAATGTATAGAGAAAGAGAGAGAATGTTGTATGTATATTGAATGTATTATTGATATCTTACAAATGTTGAATTGAGCTCCTTTTATAGAGGAGAGGAGCCTACAGTAAAGTAAAGCACTACATAACTATCACACTAAAGTAAAGCATATAGCACTATATCACACTAAAGTAAAGCATACAGCACTATCACACTAACAGGAGGGAAGCACAAAAGTGTTTGTTTGTGGAAGAGAACAAGTTCAAAACGAAGGGAAAAAGTCTCACTCTTGAATAGTTTATGAGGAATTATAAATTGGAAGCTTCTCTCATGTTCATAAACTAAAGGTCGATTTACACAGAAATCTTAATTTATAAATTTATATTTTATTAAGTTTTAATTAAAAAATTTTAGATTTTCAAGTCTCATTAAATTTTAATAATCAAAATTACCTTTTAAATAATAATTGTTCATCATTTATGATTATTTAAAAAGGAATATAATGATTTGATATTTATTTTCATTTTTAAAATTTTAAAATATCAACTTTCAAATTGAAAAAATCAAAAAAAATTGTGTAAAAAAAAACCTAATATTTTTTTTGAAAAATTAAAAAACTGAATTATTTTTTTGTATAAAACTGAAAAATCTGTGTTTATAAATAAGCATGATGATAGAATATTGATGTGCAAAATTGAAAAAAAAAACTTTAAAAATTAATTAAAATTTATAAAAATTAATTAAAACTGAAAATTTTGTGTCTGTAAAGGAGCATGATGATGGAACAATAATATGCAAAACTGAAAAAAAAAATTTAAAAATGAAAAAAATTGATAATATTCTCAGTTTTAAAAGTGGAAAAAATTGATAATATTCTCGATTTTATTGGATATTTAAAT